TTAATTTTGCAAATCCAGGATTGAAATTACCAAACTGTAAAATACTAGCTAGTTTATTTTAACTAGTAATTCTGATAAAATAGGAATAGTTTAATTGACACTGCACAGAAGGATTTTTATGGTGTTACAATAGGCTTTGATGGGTGGAAAAATTAAAAAGCAGGAGATTTTAGGTTCAGTTTTAATTACTTCACATGGACAAATTTTAATTTGGGGAGGAGAAGATGTGAGTAGAAATTGTTTGCAATGGCAAAATATAAAAGAATTATCATTGAATTTTTTGGGCAAGTTAGATGAACTAAATATCAAATGTAATGCTATGATTACTGATTCAGCATCATAAGATCAAGCAAGCATGATACTTTTTTTAAAAATAAATTTTTATTCAATTATTTGTAAGTTTAACTTTTATATTTTGTAGAAAATGACTGGCACCAGAATGACATGATGTTTTTTTTGGTCCTTGCTTTGCACATCAAACCAATTTAATTGTGGGAGAGATTATAAAGAATCATCTAGCTTAGTTACTTCATCTGAAAAGACAATTCAAATTATTTCTTTCTTAAACAGATCAGTTTACTTTATGGCAAAGTTATGTGATGAACAAAAGTTTAAATATAACAAATATTTTACACTTCTCCTTCCGTGTGCTACTTGCTGGAATTGTCATTACCAGAACTAAGTTTGCTTTAAATGTATTTAAAAAATATCATTAAAGGTTTTTTATTCAAATAAGAATTAATTATTATATTTATTTAGATGCTTGTTTCAAAATACACTCCTAGTGAATTTGAAGCAGATGATAATTATACAGTAAATGATGATAATGATAGAGAATTGCCACTTGAAACCTGCAGAATAATTGCTAATGAAGATTGGAAAAGCTTTTGCTTCCATTTTGTGGTGCACTCAACAAATTACAAACAGATAATGCTTGTCTCCATGATGTACTACATTGATTTACCTATTTTTACAAGATGTAGAAGGAATATCCTGACCAAAATTTAAGTGCAAGAATGATTATTTGTCTAGAAAAACATTGGCAAATATGGGAGTAGCCATTATTATTATCCTTAATTCTTTATATTGAATATTGTGACAAAATTTTCCTTCAAGATAATACACTATTTTTATTGCAAAACTCAGTGAATGGATGATATATTTTGTGTATGGTTTAAAAAAGCTCTTGATATTTTGTTAGACAAATTACAAAATTTTTTCTTATCATAGTCAAAATTTTCCTTCTCACAATATTTCATTAAATCAATTTAATGATGGTGTATTTGGCTTTTGGGCTTTTGTTTTGGTGTTTCAGCTTATACACCAGATTTGAGTGTTTTTTCTATCAAAGTATTTGCAATATGCATAAATACTGTTTCTGTGGAAAGGCTCTTTTCTATAATGGATTTTTCCACACAAAAAAAAGAAATTGTTTGGATTTATGTGACGGATAACCTGAAGGTGGTATTCTAATCAATTTCCATTTTTTCTCATTATTTTCCCAAATTGTCCAACCAACTTCTTTCAATATATCAAATTTTATATCAAACAACTTCTCATAATCTCTAGTACTATCATTGGTAAGGCTATTCTCAGCAAAATATTTATTAATGGCTTTAAGTGCATTACCATAACGTTTTGCTTGACGCTCCCTACTAATGTAAACAAGCAAGTTTTTTATATCTGAAGTTGGTGGAATAGAATCTAACCATTGTATTAAAGATTTATAAGTTTCTTCAAATCGTTCCAATAAACCATTTTTATTTGTTGCAGCAGCTTTTTGTGCAAGAACCATTAAAGCCTGAGCTTTAGAACGTAATGCTAATACTGCCGCTTTCTTTTTTTCATCATTTTCCTTTTTGATTTTTTTAGCCGATTCATTAACGTTTGTTTCTTGTTTAACTCCATAATATCGTGCCAATTCAAGCAAATCAATCTTTGATAATAATTCATCTGCTGTGTCTATAACTATTTTTGCATTTTCTACTGTTAATTCTGTGGTATTAGTATTAGAAGTAGAAGATTTGGCAGTTTCCAAAAATATTTCTAATTTAGCTTGATAAAGTGGTAAATGCTTTGGATATTTATCTTCAAGTTCTGAAAGTAGATCAGTAAGATAACTGGAATCAATTGGAAATTTTTTTAAATTGGCAATTTGTACATCACGAATTGCTTCATTCAAATTTTCAATTGCCTTTTCTTCTTTAGTTTTCTCAATTGGTGGTGGTGGTATTTCTGTTGATTGAGCAACATCAACATCATCAGAACCTGAATCTTTCCCAGGATCACCACCGCTATTATCACCAGCAGTAGCATGATTATTATCACTTGGTATTAGTTCTTTAGGTTTGATTGGAGCAGGTGGAATAATTAAATTAATAAAATTTTGACCGCCATCAATTCTATTTGCAGAATTATTTATAAAATTCAATTTTCCTGTTAAAATATCACCAGGTTTTGCATCTTTTGGATAAGATGAATAGTCATTAGGTGAACCAATAAATAATGCCTGTCTAGAACCTTTTTCCAATGCCAATCTACCAACTGTAGATTTACTCGAAGTGAAAACATCCGAGATTTGATTATATACGTCCAGGCTAACTTTTTTTGAAAGATTAAAGTCTAACAAACATACAGTATTATTTAATTTTTCCAAGATTGGTTGAGACTGATGACGAACTTGTGCTCTAATCACATAATCACCTTTACTTTCTAGTTTAAAAGTGCTCGGATAAATGTCAAGGTACCCGATAACTTTTTTGTTGGCATCAAATACTAACATATATTATAAATAAAATTAAAAATTAAGTTAAATAAATAACCTAATTGATAAATAAATAAAATATAGTAAAAATTATTTATACATATATTTATGATAATAATGATAATAATACAAAAAAATACAATAAACACCGTCACATCATCTTCCTTTTTTTTTATTTCTTTAATTTTTAATTTTGATTTTCACGAGCTAGTTTTCTAGCTACATAAGGATCAATTCCATCATCATACGATTCATTACGAGTCACTTTAATATCAGGACCAGTAAATTCAAACTTAGGATTAGGTTCGTAGGGTGGAGGTGGTTCTTCTTCGTATGCTTGAGACTCATCAATTGAAACTCTTTGTAGTTGTAGAGACAATGGGGTTAATGAAGGGGAAGTTGTTATAGACGGGGTTAATGAAGAAGGAATTGTTATAGATGGGGTTAATGAAGAAGGAATTGTTGTAGATGGGTTTAATGAAGGTGGAGTTGTTATAGGTGGAGTTAATGAAGGAGAGGTGGTTGGAGATGATGGAGTTGGTTGATTTGGTTGTAGATTATGTGGTCTATTTGGTTTTGGTTGAGGTTGACTATTTGGTCTTGGTTGTGAACTATGATTTGGTTGAGGCGACTTGCTTAATCTGATTTGAGTATTTTGAGGATTTGGGTTTCTTTGAGGAGATCTGCTTGAACTTATTTGTGGATTTTGTGGATTTGGGATTGGTTGGGCTACTATAGCCGGACTAGTTGGTTCAAGTTGTTGTTGTTTATTTGGATGATTTTGTTTCAATGATGATGATGATTGTGAATCAGATGTTGATGATTGTGAATTTGATGATGATGATTGTGAATCCGATGTTGATAATTGTGAATTTGATGATGATGATTGTGAATTTGATGATGATGATTGTGAATTTGATGCTGATGATTGTGAATTCGATGATTGTGAATTTGATGATGATGATTGTGAATTTGATGATGATGATTGTGAATTTGATGATGATGATTGTGAATTTGATGTTGATGATTGTGAATTTGATGTTGATGATCGTGAATTTGCTATTGATGATTGTGGATTTGATGTTGCTATTGATGATTGTGGATTTGATGTTGCTATTGATGATTGTGGATTTGATGTTGCTATTGATGATTGTGGATTTGATGTTGCTATTGATGATTGTGAATTTGATGATTGTGAATTCGATGATCGTGAATTCGATGATCGTGAATTTGATGTTAATGATTGTGAACTCGATAATTGCAAATTTGAGTATGGTTTACTATTACTTACAAAATATTCAGAGTTACGTGTCTGTGATAAATGATATCGGTTGCGAGAAGTTGGTAATGTCTGTGATCTTGATAATGATGAAAACGATGGCATATGATATTGCGATGATGATGATGATGATGATGATGAAAAAGATGGCAAAGTATTAAAATCGTTGTTATCAGTTGGATATTTATTTTTATTACTATTTTTATAAAAATTATTATCAATGTTAGCGTCGTTATCATCATCATCACTATCATCACCATTATCATCACCATCATTATCATTATCATAACCATGATAATTATTAACATCATCGTCATCATTAATATTATCAACATTAGCATCATCGTCATCATTAATATTATCATCATTAACAACATCATCATTAATATCATTATCATTATCATCATCATAATCATCATAATCATCATCATCATTATTATTATCATTATCATTATCATCACCATGATAATTATCATAATTATGGCCATCATTTAAAGAAGCAGCAGGAGTGATAGTAGAAGAAGGTTTTTCAGCACCCATAATAAAAAAATCTGGTTTCTCATCTTTTAGTCGTATGAATTTTGATTGCCTTTTTCCTAACTGATTATCATCATCACCATCATCATTATTATTTACTTTCGGCTGTTTTGGTTTCTTTTTCTTTACTTGTTTTGGCTGTGGGTTTTTCTGTTGTTCATTGAGTTGCCGTTTCAATTGTTCTATTTCTTGTTGCATTTTTAACATATTTTCGTGTGGTAACTGAAAAAACTGGTAAGGAGATGGATTTGGTGATGTTGGTGATGTTGGTGATATTGGTGGTATTGGTGATGTTGGTGATGTTGGTGGACTCAATCCTCCTGTGTAAAAAAAATTAGAGTAATAAAATTAAAACTCGTGAATAATAATATAATAATATCATTAAAAAAACTAACCTTCGGCCCTTTCTTTGCAACTCTTAGTACAATAAAGAGAAAATCTACGATTTGCTGGATCGTACCAACGTTCTTTTCGATTACATTGATGACACATTGATTGTATATGGGGATATGGTTGCAGTTGTTGTTTCTGTATGTATTGCCGCTCTAGCTCTTGCTGCATCTGTTGTTGCCGCTGTTTCTGTAGAAATTGTAGCCGTTGCTGTTCCTGTAGGTATTGCTGTTGCTGTTGCTGTCGCAGTAGATATTGTTGCTGTTGCTGTTGCAGTATATATTGTTGCTGTTGCTGTTGCTGTTGCTGTTGCAGTATATATTGTTGCTGTTGCTGTTGCAGTTGCTGTTGCTGTCGCCGTCGCTCTAGCTCTTGCTGTTGCAGTTGTAATAATTTTGAATTTTCTTGTTGTTTACACTTATTACTACAATATTTCTGCAGTACATTGTTTAGTTTAATAGCTGGATTTATTTTGCACTGATTACATAGTGGAAACCGACCTATTTCAATTTAATGATTGTGACATTAGTAACAAAAGTATTGCTAAACTTTTTTGATGGATAAGCTCTTCCTTCAAAATAAAAAGATCTTTAATGAATTTAATGTAAATAGTTTACCACTGTGTGCAGCTAGAGTTCTACAGGAGGTACCACAAAAATTACTAGCATTACGTGTCTTGGGATCAATATAAACTTCCTTCTTGCCACAAAATGCACAAAGAATCATTTTTTTTATGAAGAATTAAAAAAATCGAGAAAATTGGAAAAATTTTTTTTTTTATGAAAAAACCGGAAAATAGATTTTTATGTAGGATGATGGCTGAATTTATTTATTTGTTTATTTCATTTTACAAAAAAATGATTTAGGAATCCATCTTTCCTTTTTATTTTTTTCCTGTGAAATAAATGTGATTGAAAATTATCCAATACAATTTTATTTATTATTATTCATTTTCATTTTTGAAAAAAAAAAAACATCAATTAGGTTTATGTGAATACAAAGTGAAACAATTACAATTAAAATTAAAAACATTGCCTTTATGGTACTTATTATTATTTTGTGCTTCTAAAATTAAACAAAGATGATGCATTATCATTACCATCATCGTTAAATTTTTGCTTCAAAGTTATAAGATTTTTAAGAAGCTCGATCGTTAAAATTATTAAAATCAATATGACCTAAAGAAACAAAAATATTGATATTTATTGTATGTCTGCCGATGAAAATTGGCATTCTGAAATTTCAATT